TATGATATATATTATACATTATATATTGTATTTTATATATATATATATACACATATAAAGCATCTAATAAATATCAATAATCACGTTATAATATAATTTCAGTATATGCTCTCGACTTTAAACACAGAAATCATTCAAACGAATCGAAAAGAACCAAAATAGTCCACAAGACTCCAAGAACACGCTTTCACAAAAGACCAACTCGAATTTGTGTGGGACTGCTTGCTGGGATTACGAAAGTTAAAATGAAAACAAACTCTTAAAGGGTTGAATTCTTGGTAAATTATTAGGGGAAAGAGCTTGGTTGAGAGTCACAATCATGAACGAAGACCTACAATGGCAAAGGGGTGAAAATGCTGAGACACATGGTTCAACTGTTTTTCGAATTTTTAAAACTATCTTTCATCTTCTGTTTTCAAAATTCTTTTGTCCTTAGATATTTCCATGTTTATCTGCGAATCCCGAACAGCGAAGGTCCCAAAAAAAGAGTGCTAAATAGCTAGCGAATAACAGACATAACCTGAGTCATGCTTAAAATAGGAATCTGAGTCCCTAACAGATACATAAACTTTAGGATTGTGACACACTTCCATGAACAAGAAATATGCCAAAACAATCAACTTACTTGTAATTTCCTTCATGAAATCCTTATTCCATTCGTCCTCATTAGCGGCAAACACGAAATACCGACAACAGAAAGAAAAAGTTGGCTTCGGTTTTGAAATTCAATGAATAAATGGCGTGTAGGCTCTTGCTAATAAGCGAAACCATTAATTAGCATGATACAATGAATGATTGAAAAACAATTGAAGTCCTTGTGTTAGTACAGTCTTTTTGTCGGTTCGCTGGTTATGCAGATTTTTTTTTGAGTCAAAGTTCGGAATAAGAACAATATAAGCGTCTTAGGTACTTTAAGTAAAAAATATATCACGACATGGTGGCTAGAAAGTGAAATTGGAAACGCTACGCTCGTATGCTTATGAAATGAATAAAATATCAAAATTTTAAAAAAAACCGGGAAAAAAAACCCCAGAAAGCAAGGAAGGAAAAAAAGGACAGTAAAGAAAGGAAAAAAAATGGTTATTAAAAGTAAATTTGACAAATAATTTTATAAACTCGGGTGAAGAGAAAACCACACACAAAACAAAAAGCAGAAAGGAAAGAAGAAAGAAGAAAAAGAAAGTTTCTTTCTTTCTTATTTCTAAAGTCAATAAATAAAAACAGAACAAATACGAACGAAAAACGTGAAAATAAAGCAAGGACAAAACTTGCTCATTAATTCCTTCACTTTTTATTTTGAAGTAAATACGTTCCGGCCAGGTTATTTTTTCTCAACTCATTCTAAAAAAATTAATTTTTAAGCATTGTTAATTATTTAGCAATTAAATAAACCGGAAATAAGATTTAATAAGATAAATTTCTCATAATCAGTTGGCTGATAGACTGTGAATTTCATACCCTTGGCAGTTCATGCTAAAAACTCACAGAATTCGACTTTTTGGTATAACTCCACATTAGTTACATTCTTTCGCATAATACTTGGGATTTATACGTCATAAATGTATTTGTTTGGAAGAATAAAACAAAGACTTTGCTTCTCAATCGCTCGACAAAGGAAATTCAATTCAAAATGGCCGCCCAAAGGCTGAAAGAGAGACGATAAGACGAAGACAAGACGCGCAAAGAGACACGATCCAAAATACACCCAAACCTTTATTCAAATTAAAGATTTAAATTATTTTATATAATTATTTTAACACTTTACCAGGGACTCCAGTATTTTGTCACACAGCTTCATTTTCGGAACTACGTTTCCACTAGAAATTTTTTTTTTTTAAATCGTTCTTGAAAAAATCGTATTTTTGGAATAGTTTCATTATTTTATTAAAGTGTAAAGTCATATCTATAAACAATGACCGAATAGCATGACGGGAGATCAGTATCACGCAGAGACGTCTATTGAGAATGGACGTCTGAATGAGATATATTAATAACATTCCTTAATGTTACTCAATCTCGTATCCAGAGCCTGCTTTTCTTTTGGCCTGCGGCGATGAACGAGGGCTCTGGCATAATTCATTTTTTGGCGCATGCGCAGTTTTCCGTAAGTGAAATATAATGAATGAAAATCATGCTTTCAAACCTGCTTTCAAACAGACTACTGCGTTTACTTTCGATCAAAATAAGAATTAGAAATGGGGAACATACTTTTTTCAATTTTTGGCAAGTCCAAGAAATCCTGGTCGCCGCAGGCCAGAAGAAACGCAGGCTCTGAGGACGAGATTGAATGTGTCTGGTCTGAAAAACGTATGCGCATGCGCCAATTTTCCCGAAAAACAAACATAGCTGCTTGAAAATTCTACACACAATAAAAACAAAACAGCTTAACTTCTACACTCGTGACTTTCGAAGCTAATTTTCAGATTTTGTCGAAACCACAGACATTTTTATAGGAAGCAAATGAGCCCGCGATTTTACGTACAACCGCTGACTCGTTTTTCAGCCTGTTGCTTAAGGACCAGGGCCTTGTCGTACAAAAGGGTGGATAGCGCTATCCAATGGATAAATCCTTATCCAGCGAATAAATTTATGCTGTTATCCAATCAATTTATCCACTGGATAAGATTTATCCGTTGGATAGCGCTATCCACCCTTTGTACAACAAGGTGCTACCAAAATCTACAAAAAAGGTTAATATAAAGAAATTCTGATTGCAAGGGAATGAATGACACCCAATTTACGAAACAAAATCACCTGTTAAAGAATTCGAATGGTACGCATTTTTAACTGCATCGCACGGATTGAAAGTTTCATAAATCCTTGTCACTAACTCTTACTCACATGCTTTTAATTCAGAAATGTTAAAGAAAGTCATATTAGATGACCATGAATTTGTTTTCTGCTTTTCTTTGATGTTTTTGATTTTTTTCCAAGCGTTTCTTTGATCCCATAGGTTACTCTAGCGCGCGTTTTTTCCTCGATGAATACCATATTTCCTCAGCGTTTAGCAAGAAAAACCTTTTTTGAACAACAATATGTTGGGGTGTGTTTATGCCAAGTTTAAAAAATTGTGAGTGCAATAAACATTCTTCAAATTTATAAACTCTTTCACAGTATGCTTTATTTATTCTCGGCAGGAAAAGTCGAGGGAGTTTGGATTTGGATTATGTCACCGAAAAGTTTTGGTAGAGTGGGCTGCATTTTTCATTGATTGGGTCTTGGGCGTAAGCTATATTTTCCAATTTCAGATCGCGTGTCATTCCCTAGAGCATCATTTCTTTGTTTAACGTTGAACAAGAAAAGACACATGAATATGGATACTCAAACAAAGAATCTTATTCTCGAGAGAAGGACACGTGATCTGAAACGGGAAAACATTACGCTCAAGGTAAAAAGGCCTATTTAATGCAAGGACCAATAAAAGCAGCCAATTTTAAATATCGTGGAAATAACAAAGAATTCAAAATAATGTAGATGAACTGATAGTAATCCAAAAATAATAGGAATGGTTGAAATAGCGTAATACGGACGAAAGAAAAATTTATAAAAGCAAAGAGAAATGAATACAAAGAACGAATGGAAGACAAAGCAAAAGAAAAAAACATCAAGAAGAATGGAGGCAAAAATATGACTGAGAAAGAAAGAGAACGAGAAATAAAAAAATCTCCATACATCTTTACCTCAAAGTTCAGTTGCTCTTTGATCTTTGTTGTGCTAAACATGAGTAGAGGAGAGTCTTTTCTTGCCACAACATACACCATATGAATTGCTCCAGGACAACTTTCCTGAGATACGAAAAAATAATAATTAATACAAATTCTTATCGCATCGCATAATCCAGGGGGAACCAAAGCTGGATTTTTGTATCGGTAAATCAATATTAGTAAAAGTAAATTATGTGTGATAAATAAATAAAGTTTTTTCCTGCAATACTTGGGGCACTGTTGGGGGGAAATGTGGCCTTTTAATGAAAGCCCATGCATTGAAACCCTGTGGTATTTCGAACTTAGCTTGAAGGGTGCAAATCTATTTAGGTCTGATTGCCAAGATAACCAATCAACGACATTCACAGAGTTGGAACTTGAGATCGACTATTCAGTCAATAAACTGCTCAGACATGGCACGATCACGATCACGACACGTTCGTACCGAAGATTTTTACCGCGTGAATCGAAAGTGAGGATGAACACAAATGTTCAAACTTCAAAATATATACATATATATAAGCAATTGTTCAGATAATAAGATTTCTGAAAAATAGCCCATGAAATTCGCATTTCGTCGATTTTCTTCCATAAACAATGTTTTTCTTTGAACGTGGGAAATTTTTGGCTGAAATTTTGTTGGCAGTTAGTGTTTTTCGTAATTCAATCTTAAATTATTACAAGAATCTGACCCGCCGAGTATCGATTTTATCGTCTTTGGGACAACAGATAACAGCATTCGAAAAGCACTTATTAAGAGTTCTTAAATCCGTCTGAGTACGTTGTGAAGTAATTGCAATTAGTATAGCAAACCATTGTCAGTCTGAACGTACGAAAACCGTTGCAGTGCCTATCAAACATTTGTTAACATCCTAAAAAGAAATGAATTTTTATGGAAATGGCTTCAAAAAATCCGTGAAATAAAATAATCTAGCTGTAAATGKTTAAAGATTGAAATAAAAACAAAGAAACGATAGAATTAAAAGTACAATTCTTGTATTGTCATAGTTCAAGGATTTTTTACAAGACTGTACGACTCAGAAAAAACAGAAATCAAGTATCAATCGATACATCCAAAATCCTAATTCTTATCAAAGTTCTGTCAGCCAGGTTGGTCTAATTTTCGGTATTTTGACAAACAAAACACATTGTCAGTGGTGACAGGGAGAGAAAAAGACCGCGTTTAGTAAGTAAATACTGCAAATTTTAAAACCACTCGAATCTTTGAGATTTTTATGAAGAGGTCATGTCAACCGCCGATCGACAAAACAAGCCACACTCCACATGTTTGGAAGAAAATCTCTGTTTCTTTGCATAGCATGAATGAACGTTTTAAGCTATCTAGATCGTTTTATTTATAACTAACTGAGTCAACTTCTGAATTCTAAATAAAAATAGGGAAATAAAACCGTGATATCTCTCGAATAAAAGATGAATTTCGACGGGTCGAGGGTGGGCCACATCAGTTTTGATGACCCAAGGGAATGGCATTCGTCAACAACACTTTCTGGGTTCGGAGAGGAGTCGCTTACGTAAATCCGTTGGCTTCTCAAGTTTTATTTAACGTGGAAAACACTACTTTTATTATCCCAAACACAAGATAATTATACAGAATTGCATTCCCTTGAAAAAGAAATTTCTAAAACGACCCAAAATAACGATATATAAATGGCAGACTTAGAAGTTGTGTCAATGACATACCACTCCGTTGGGCGAAACTTGCATTAATTATTTTTTTCGTAGTTTGATAACCAAGAAAAGAATATTCTTCGTAATAATTCCCAAGATTCAAAATAATAAAGAAAGGGATATTTTAGAGATTTATACTGTCGACAAGTGACTAGAATAGCTACACTCTCATTTGGTTCACTATCCATTTTACTCGTTACTGTGGAATAAGTTTAAGTCTCTTACCTGAAAACAAATCATAGCTTCAAGTATATCTTCAATCAGGCGTCGTTTTGTGGCAGATTTCCTTGCATCGAGAATAATAGTAAATCCCAGATTTGGTTCTTGTTTTCTACAGCAAATAAGTCACAGTTAGTCTAGTCATCAACTCTAAGGCTCTTTCCTCTTCTGTAAGGAAAGGACGACTGAATCAAAGAATTTACATCTCCCCTAGCGAAGCCAGTGGTTGGGTTACGTGGGGGGTACCCAGTGGGGTCTTTTGGCTTCACTATTCCAACCATAGATGTTGAACATTCTCATTATTTTTGTTTGAATATTTTTTAGAGAAGTGCTTATATTTTGGAGCACTTATAAAATCAAAATTTAAGGATTTTGGGACCAAATTTTTTAACTCAGGCATTTTTGTTTGGGAGGATAGGGTAGGGAAGGATTAGAAAGGTCAATTAATCCCCTCCAGGGGTACCCAAGGTTGAGAGCCATGACTTCAAAGTTTAGATTTGTCATTTGATCCCCTGGGAAGTGTTATAATTTCGTTGTAAATGGGTTGGTCTATACACACATCCGGTGTTCTGACACTCTTTGTCTTCAAAAGTGTAAACACCGATAAAGTGTGAATGAAGTTTAGTACTCGTACAAAGAACAGGGATTATCCAGAATGTATTTCATCCTTTAATGTATTTTCTGACATGTATTCTTGATTTTATTTCGAGTGGAGTTTTTGAGAAACAGCAACAAAAACAAAGAAAAGGATGTTTGGCTAAGATAAAGAAACCTCTTCGGTAAATACTGCCGTGGCATGGTTCGTTTGTTGCAGCGAATTACAAGRGCTGGTCACAGATTAAGTGAATGAATTCAAAAGAAGTTTATCTTCAAGTTAAACAAGCTAAAATCATCCTCTCTTGACAATAAAGAAAGCAGTCACAGAATACATAAAACTAGGTTTCATTACAATTTTTTTTTTCTCGATACATTTAGCATAATATTGGAAAACAGTTTAGTAATTCTATCGAATTTAAGTGAAATTCCTTTGCATAGAAGCTAAGCATATAAACTCGAAACTCAAGAAAAAAATCCTATTTCGAAATTCATAGCGTGTTTTCTTTGGCACATTATTAAGGCAAAAGAGGCGATAACAAAGTGTTTTTGAGTGTTAATCTAATTAGAAAAACTATGAAATGAAATTGGATAAAAGCAAGGAGGTTTGGAGATAAAACTTTGCAAGTAAGCAAAACGAGTTCTGCTCGTTATAAAAATAACATTCACTCTGTAGCGTTTATAGCGAACAGCTCAGTGAAAGAATTTCGTATGTGAGAGATCTCTAACAAAGATAAGATGCAGAAGTGATGTAATATTGACATGCTATTGCCATTAATCACACCACAGCACTGAAGTAGCTAGCTAGCTCKACAAGACATCTATAGTACAAAAAGTAATGTTTTTGCATACAAAAAGTACAGAAGTACAATTGTTTTATTGTTATATATTGAGTGACAAGAACTGAAAAACAAAGAGAGAAAAGACGATGAGTTGAATATTCGAAAAGCAGGAAACCTATCGTAGCAACACACAATTTGCTTCCATACTCTTGAAGCAACGTGATCAGACGGTAAACGTCTTTGCTTGGTTTCTAATTGGTTCAAACTAGAAAAGCCCTTTAATAGAACGTTTTCAATTTAAAAAAACTGCCCTTGAACTGGTTTGCAATACGAGTAATTATTACGATAAACAATCCTTACAWATGTAACAGGATAAACAAGATTATAATTAGATTAAAGTCAAATCTCTTTTACAAGATTTTTTTTTTCAGTTTATAAAATTATGGAGCTCAAATTTTCTTGATTTTCCTGTTCGCCATTTTTTCTCAAAGTTTTTTCCCATAATGGAAACTGTACAAAATTAGTCCTTAAAATCATTCAAACTTTTTGAGAGAGTTGGAAGACACTAGCGAGGAATAAGAAGTTTTCGTTTTGGTTTAATCCAAAGTGAATATAGAGGGGTTTCACGACATTTTGTGGGAAAGGAAAAATGAATGAAAATGGATGAAAGCTTTACTTTTCTACCTAACAGCACGGTTGCCGTGAAGATTTTCAACACGACCTCGAACASAGKAYATTCGTTTTAAGCAGCTACACGCGYGGAATCGCAATGAATTGTTAGTTTAAACTTCTTGTACATCTGTTTTATATCGATAATATTAATAAATGATTCTCTAGTTTTCATGCTTTTCAGAACTAATAAATCTCGCTTGGGAGTAAATTTTTCCCATTTCAAACCACGCGTCAATCTCTTGGGAATAAGATTCTAAGACGTTTTGCTTGAAGTGTATCCATGCGTCTGAAGAGTCTCATACGCGGACGTTAAACAAAGAAATGATACTCTAGGGAATGACACTTGGTCTGAAATGGGAAAATATTACTCTCAATCTACAAAAGACTTTTGAATGTGTAACGTAAGGTGCTGTGATTGGCTACTCGATTTGGAAAATCTGTCGAATTTTTCGGATTGGTTCGAAACTGTCAAAAAATACTATTGTCTAGTGTACGTACGCCTTTGGTGCGTTTTGATTGGCTTACCGCATGTAAYCCATTCAAGTGTAACAATATGACGTAAAATTTCAGTGAACTACATTCGGTGTCCTCTACTACAAGAATACAATTTATTCGAAGTTCTTTCCACAAAATAATCTATGATAATCATCGATGTCACGACTAATAACGGACGGAAATGATTCGGCACCTTATCAAGGTAGGAAATGGCGAAGCTTAAAACAGCATTCCCAGACAACCGTAGACAAAAGAAATGCAAAATATGAATACAGAAATATGCATATCTCTTTGTTACTGATTTTAAGCTCTCAAACTACGCTTTGAAACAGTTATCATTCAAGTAAAAATGGCCTCCATAAAATAAAGTTGCCCTAAATCAATCCCTAGACAAGTTGACCATATGGAGCAGTTCGTATGACTGYGAAAAGCTCACGGCACGAACACGGTCGTGACACGGCAAGGCATACGCCAGACCAAWCACATTGCGTGAGAATTTAGTATACTTTCCATCCAATGAAATACCCGAAACACGGCATGAACATGGTGCGGACACGTCATGGCACTACCATGCAGGACAATCAAATTGCGCGAGAGAAAAAAACAGCCAATCAAAATTCTAGAAAATATCCCGTTCACTGCACGACACGCTTGCTGCACTGAGCTTTTCACAGTCATGCGAAAACTGCTCTGTGACCAACATGACGTCATTTCTTTCTCTCTTCCGGTCGTAGAGGATTACGGAACCAAACACCACTCCACCGTGGACCGAATAGGACGTGAGCTACCGACTACTTGACAGCAATCTTTAATGATTTATGATTTTATTTTYAACGCCAAGCAAAAATTTACCCATTGAAGATATTCTGGAGCAAAGGAATACCCACTGGGTTTTTTAATATATTCTGAATAGTTCCCTTCACGGTTCCCTGCGACATCTTGAAAGGTAGCCGTGCCTTTGCATCGAAGCGAGACGAACGGTGAGCTTGCAATGATAGAGACATGTGAATAATTGTTCAAGGTGTTAAAAACAGGTCTCTATCATCGCAAGCTCACCATTCGTCTCGCTTCGATGYAAAGGCACGAAGATGACGCAGGGAACCGTGAAGGGGACTATAGAATAACGATACAGATATTCCAGGTGCATATGGTTAATGCACCTATCTCTCACCTCTGGGGTCTCAGGTTCGATTCCAAGACTCGACATCATGTGTGAGTAGAGGTCGTTGGGTCTCTCCCTTGATTCGTTGTTTCAGGGTTTGATCTGTAAGCTAGCCCTGTTCTGACTTTGATTAGCCCATAGGTCGTTTCAAGGTTCGATCTGTAAGCTAGCTCTGCTCTGACTTTGATTAGGCCATAGGTCGTTTCAAGGTTCGATCTGTGAGTTAGCCATGCCCTGACTTAGATCAGCCCAGAGGTTGTTTCAGAGTTTGATCTGTGAGTTAGCCATCCCCTGACTTAGATCAGCCCAGAGGTTGTTTCTGGGTTCGATCTGTGAGTTAGCCATGCCGCCCTGAATTTGATTAGCCCTGCGGTTGTTTCAAGGTTCAATCTTTAAGTTTAGTTCAGAGTACCAATAAAATGCGTCGGGTATATATTTGTCTGCTTACTTGGGGATGGTTTGAAAGTACATCAACAGTCTCGTCAGCTCCACTGTACTGTACTGCACGTTGTTCCAGTCAGGTCGAGATGGATTAATGAACAGAATGTGCCCACCTCTCATATCTTTACAACCTGCATAAAATAACGAAAAATGAAGAAAAAAAATTTACATTTTTTCCCTCATTAAAGGATACGACAATTTCGAAAAAAAGTTGTCTTACGAATATACTTCTGAATGCTGCATCGGTGAAGCTCGTATCGTCGCGGTAAAAAAACGAGATTGGTTGGAAGCGCGTGCTTTAGGAGAGCACACAGCACGGGCGCGCACTTTGTGCTTTGTCATTCGTATCCAAAATAACGGTTATTGTAATTTGTATTTTATAAATGAAATAWGGAATTTGCTTGCTGTGCTGCKYAGTCRCCTTCGCAGCCGTCATTAGGTTTGGTCCCGAGAGGGCYCGTGACGAKCTGTGTGCAATTATAAAGYACTTGGGGAATGGCAGGACACTCAAGAAGTGCAATGAAGCACTTCACTACGCGTTGTGCTTCTCAGAGCACTTCTCTCGTGTTCTGCTAACTCCCGCGTGCTTTATAAGTGCACACAGCACAACACGCGTTTTACATTTCTTCAATTTCTGAATGACTTGTGTTTCTTGGTGGCTGTTGACTCAAAAGTATTCAGTTTTATTTGCAGTCAACGAAACTTTTCAAATACGGATAAACAGCATTTTTCCTTACTGCATGATTTCTTTGAAAAAAGTTGTAGATAGTAGCTTTTTTCATGGGGTAAATACCAATGTCAAAAATGTTGTCAGAGTTGGAGATAAATAAAATTAATACGTGTACATTCCAAGACCCAAAAATAGCTGGAATGAC